ATATATATATATAATTTCATATAGTTAATATCACGCGAAGAGAGCCGTTTTTTTTTCCCAAAAATCTGCATGATTACAAATGTGATATTGATTTTATACAACAGTTCAATAAACAAGTTAATATTAAGAGACTTATGTTTTAGACACCATATTGCCTGTTTCTGCTCCATTTCGCCTACAAAAATTATTCCAAACAGAACCACAGCACTGTTTTGCGTTTCTAAACATGACGTGCTTCGTTCATGAATGAATCAACCGTTTAAATGATTTGGTTCAATCGCAATGATTCACTTATTAACAGTGACTTGCTGCCACCTATTGGCGGTTTTAATTTCACATTTAAAGTATCTTTTCTTTTTCTTTCTTTTTTTTTCAAATAGTAAAACATTTATGCATTTGTAACTGCAGGTTAAATCATTCCATGTCCCTCTGAGCTGCATTAAATAGTGTGTAAATACATCTAAATGCCACTTCGTTCAGATCCAGCTTCTGTGTTTCCTCTGGATTGCAAAGATAAATTTTGTTGATACTGATTTCATTTGCCTTCATTTGATTCTAGTAATCAAGGACAACTTAAAGCTGAGTGGTGGTTCACGGTGAGCACATGCTAATGAGGCAGACAGGAAAGCGTTAATCACGCTGGTCAACTCTTCTGAAGAGACTCGTGACTAGCTGCCATTTCATAAGATTTCAAAGCTCTTTTAACGACACCAGAGGCCACAGTCCCAGTGGCAATTAAAATCATGCCAGGACACGCCATGATCTGTTGTGATATCAGTGTGACACAACGGCAGCAACAAATGTTGCCTGGAAAAAATCTCAGGAGACAACAGTCACTTTGGCTACCAAAGACAAGCTTGTGTCTGAGACTCATCTTGTGTCTGAGAAACATCTGCAGGAGAAGAGAGGATAGCCATGTTATGCATGGCATTCTCAGACACAACAGCTGGGAGAAAAAAAACTCACCTGCAAGTTTAAATGACATTACAAGGGAATTACAGCCCCAAAGCAGAATTTCACTGCTTAAAGTTCTCATTGAAGTCACCACACCTATCCAGATCTCTCGCTCCAAACACAGCGCAGATGATAACATTTCCCTTCACCTCAATACAAACCTCACAAACTTCAAACTGCAATAACACAGGACAGCTATAAAGAGTCCATTAACAACAGGAGACCCTCTCTAGCGGACACAGACCTCACAATGAGAAATAAACATGAGCACTACCATTCAGGCGGAGTGCAGCAAGATGTGTGACAAGAACGATTAACTGGCTGCTTGCAGTCTAAAATCAATTTTACATGTACAAAACAAAAAGCCAGTGCAATGCCAATAGATCTGCCTTAATCCTATTGCCTTAAGATGCCTTAAAATCCACATTCTCTGATTCACACTAAAATAAATATTTACTAAAATAAAATAAATTTCTTTCTGTACTAATGCACTCAGCCTTATGTTTGTTATGAAAAAAACAACAGCAGTACATTATTCTTTATCTATCTTTGTGGTTTAAGAAAAAAGACGCAGCAGACATGATGCTAAGATACTACACGGAGAAACCTGTCCGTGTCTCCCTGAAATTGACAATTCAGTTCTCATAACCTGCTCTCTGCAGGGGAGTTCATATTGTTTGGGGGGGGCGGGGGGTCCAAAAAAAAATAACAGTGCTGCCTTGGAGCTAAATGTATTTTCTTTGTTTCAACAGGAATCTAGGGACCAGAGGAGGGGGGGGGACGTCGGAGCCGTTCTTTATGTTGCAAAAGAAAAGGTTAAAAGACCAAAACTGGCAAATAAAGAAGGGGAAAGAACTGTCTGGAAATGTTGGAAATACATGCCAACAGACTTCGTAGACATGCCCTGGATCTGAGAACTTTCCTCCTGTCTGAAACCTGAGAAGTTCAGCAAAGAAAAAAAAAAACTCATCTGTGAGGCACTCAAAACCAAGAAAAAAATCCATTATTGATCGTGTTTGTTGTGGGACAAAAAAAAGAAAGAACCTGCCACAGTGGACGGCACTTGGGCAGACTCTGAGCTTCAGGCCGATTTAAAGAGTAAAGAGGAAGAACTGCATTAGCACAAAAGTGATGGACACACTGACACCTAATCAAGAACACTACCCACAAATCTCTGCAAATCACTTTAGATGGACACAGACATCACTGACTGACCACATCATTGGTATCTCACACTTTGATGCACAGGTCTGCACCTCAAGGGCTAAAACATCATGAAAAATACAAATATGAGAATGCTTAAGCAAAAAAAGACAATGTCAGCATCAAGCAAAAGTTTGAAAATTCTGACCTTGGGTTGAGCGCGCCGAGGAAAGGCGACCTTAGGATCAATCTGTGCACAGACAGAGAAAGAAGAGAGAGAATGAGGAGGGGGAAAAAAATTCACATATGCAATCACACATTCATCACAATACACTCTTTCATACTTCAAGAAATCATCAACATCATCAAGCTTCTGAATTACGAGCATGGATGGGTTATACTGGAATGATGACATTAACTCTTTGGCTTGTCATCTTGTTAATTTCAGTTTGTTTTCCATCTAGTGAAGGTGTGCAGACAGAAGGAATTATCAGAGAAACTATTTCATGCTCCAATGTCACACTGTCTTACCTCAGCCTTAATACAGCTTCTTATAGAGAGGAGTTTGAAACAATCTCATACAGGCAGACGAAGTAAAGATGAAAAACAAACAGATCGAAATTGGGTTCTTGCAGGAAATTACTTGTCCATGTTCAGCAAGGCAAAGGCTTTAGATTGTAGCAAAACTCCTAGTGTAGATTTGAACGTTTGCCTGAGGGCTCTGCAGCATATAAGTGTGTATCATTACAGACACTGCCTTTCTAAATAAAACACACACACACTGTCTGTTTCTTTCCGGATAGAATCTTAGGAGTCATTTTTTTGCCTTCTCTATATGTGCGTGTCATCTATATGTTGGCCATTTTAAATATAGATATGTCAATTCAATGTGCTGTGCACAGGGTAATTACTCTCTGAAATGACACTGGTGTCCAATGAACTAAACCTTTTTACTCCCATAATTCCGTTTGACTGAGCTGTGATTGTCATCTCCCCAAATCAG